GGGAGCTGGAGAGATGGTTCAGTAGTTAAGAGCACTGACTGCTCTTGCAGAGGACCCAGGTTCGGTTCCCAACACCCCCATGGTTGCCAAAAAACCACCTGTAACTCCAGTTCCAGGGGATCCATGCCCTCTTCTGGCCTTTCCGGGCACTGCATGTGCCTGGTGGGTGCATTTACATGCATACAAGACACTCATACACTTAATAAAAATAATTTAAAATAAATATTAAAGGTAAAACCACAGTAACAATTATTAAGGTTTTTAGTTGAAGTGTTACTATCGTTTAAAATGCTGATATAGTCTGGAATCTGCTTGCCATCAGTTGTCCTTGATTTCTACTGTGATTTTAAATCTCCATTCTATAATAACAGCCTAGTTTCTCTTAATTTTTGTCTTAAAATTGTAAAGCACTAAGATTGATAGCAGAAGAGTATACATATTGCATTTTTTTGAGGGAGTAGAGAGAAAAGCATGGCTGAACCCAGTGTGGTGCTAGAACAGGAAAACTACAGCTAGAGAAAAGTGTAGTGTAGAAGATGTGGTATAATATTTTAAAGTAAAATGATAGGTCTAATTAACAGCAATACATAGAACCTTGAGTACTAAATGTATAGTGTATAGATGACAAAACTGTTGGCATACTTATGTGGCATGAAACTCAGTTTCGGTAATTAAAGGGTATATTTTATTGAAGGAACAATTATACTTTAATAGCATTTACATTTGTACAGAAATAAATAAGTGTAGTGTATTATGTGGGTGCATACCTACAATCCAAACATTCAGAAGGCTGATTCAGGAGGATGATGGTTTCAGAGCCATCCCTGGTTACATATATGTAGTAATACCTTATCTCAGAAACAAGCTCAAACAACAAAAACTGTAGTTGTGTGGTGGTGATACACATTTTTTTTTTAAAGTATTTTTTTGCTGGGCATGGTGGTGCATGCCTTTAATCCCAGCACTTGGGAGGCAGAGGCAGGTGGATCTCTGTGAGTTCAAGGCCAGCCTAGTCTACATAGTGAGTTCCAGGACAGTTGGGACTACAGGGAGACCCTGTCTGACCCCCCCCCCCAAAAAAAAATAAAATGAAATGAAAGTATTTTTAAAAACTTATTTTTACTTTTATTCTGTGTGTATGCATTTACTGCCTGCATGTAGGTCAGTGCATCCGTGTCATGCAATGCCCGCAGAGGACAGAAGAGGCTGTCAGATCCCCTGGAACTGGAGTTATGGTCAGTTGTCAGTTGCCATGTGGGTGCTGGGATTCGAACCTGGGTCTTTTGCAAGAACAGCCAGCATTCTTACCTGATGAGCCATCTCTTCAACCCTGGTGACACACATTTTTAACTCTTAAAGTGAGATGGAAAGTCCAGTGTATAATGCTCTTCTAGTATAGATAATCTGATTTGCACTATTACAGTTGCACTTTAATTTGTAAAACACACAAAGACGGCCTTTTCCCCTTTTAAATGAATTAAAATATATAGTTCTATACAAAATAGAGAGTTCTACAGGAATTTATAGGTAAATTTTGATAAATTATGGAGAGTAAGTTCTGAAACAATTCATTGTTATTGTCGAAAAGTAAAAAGGAGTAAGTTTCAGAAATGGGAAGTCAGTTTTGTTGTTGAATCTCAGCAAAGTGTACAGTTGATCTTCCAGATATTTGATTTTTGAAGATTCCAAAAGCAATACAATAAAGAAAACCCTTATGAATATAAATCATTCTACTTTTTTTTAAACAAAAAATTTAATGTATAGCACTGCTTTCTCAAATGCTATGGACATGGTGTAGGGAATACAGCTTTATTTCAAATAAGATACTGAACTGTGAACTAGTTAAAGTAAAAAGTAGATTTATAATTGACCAAAAGGCAGTTATGAAAATCAGTGTTGTTATTTTGAGGGGTAGGGTGTTGAGACAGGGTCTCTCTGTAACCCCAGCTGGCCTGGAACTTGCTATGTAGACCAGACATTAGACATGTACCACCATGCCTGGCCTTTAGAAACATTCTTAATTAAGGGAAATTGTAAAAGAGAGCCATAGGGTTCTGTCTTTGTCTTAGAAAAAGATGTGTCAGGATCAAGAGAAAACATCATCTGGAAAATTTCAGCTGAAAACAAAACCAGATTAAGAACACGTGTAGTCGGCATGGTGGCACACTTGGGAAGCAGAGGCAAAGGATGGCGAATCACTGGTCCACACAGTGAACTCTAGGCTAGCTATGACTACATAGTGAACCTGTCTTAAAAAAAAGTGAGTGGGGGACCTGGAGAGGTGGCTGTGCAGTTAAGAGCACTGGCTATTCTTCTAGAGAACCTGAGTTTGATTCTCAGCACCCACATGGTGGCTAACAACCATCTGTAATTCAAATTCCAGGGGATCCGACATCCTCTTCTGACCTCCATGGCCGTTTCACAACATGGGTACACTTACATACATACATGCAGGCAGGCAAAAATTCATATATGGAAAATAAAAAATAAATTAATTAAAAATAAAACAAAGCTGGGCATGGTGGTGCATGCCTTTAATCCCAGCAGGCAGGAGGCAGAGGCAGGTGGATCTCTGTGAGGCCAGCCTGGTCTCCATTAGTGAATCCAGGCCAGCTGCAGCTACAGGGAAACCTTGTCTCCAAAAGACCAAAAAATAAAAAATAAAAAAAATAAGAAAAGAGTCAGGGCTTGTGATGTAGCCCTGTAATCCCAGTTGATTGGAAGGCTAGATCAGGAGGATTACAAGTTTGAGGCCAGCCTGGGCAATTTAGTGACCATGTCTGAAAATAAAAGCTCGGCATGGTGGCACCTGCCTGTAATCTCAGTACTTGGGAGGCAGAGGCAGGATTGATGTAGTTTTAGAGATTAGCTAGCTGGGTTACATAGCAACATTCAGTCTTAACTACCCAATAAAAAAAATTAAAATGGGACTGAGGCTGTAAATGAATTGGTATAGTTCTTGCTTAGCATGCTCAAGACCCTAGATTTAGTCTCCAGTACTAAATAAAACCAGGCACATGCCTGTAATCCCAGCACTTAGGTCTTTCTCAGCTATATAGCTAGTTCTGCCAGCCTGCAATTTTTTTTTTCTTTTTAAGAAAGAAAAAGAGGACTGAAGATGTAGCTCATTGATAAGACACTTGCCTAGCATCATGTATGAGATTTAATCTTCAGTACCCAGGGGTATGGGAGAAACATGAGTAAAGGTTGCTTTTACATGTAAAAAGAAACAGTGATACTGGTATATAATAGGAGATTTTAATTTGATATAATTTTATTTGATGTGATTTCAGGTTTGGTTTGGTGTGATGAGAAGGGAAGGCAGGGAGATGGTAGAATTAGCCATTAGGGTATATGAAGAAGTCACGTGATATGGCTGTTAAAAATCTGAACCTGCCAGTTGTGCTGGCACACATCTTTAATCTCAGCACTCAGGAGGCAGAGGCAGGCAGATCTCTGTGAGATCTAGGCCACTCTGGTCTGAATAGTTTCATGCCAGCTGGGGCTACAGGGGGACCCTGTCTCAAAAAAAACTTAATCAGCCCCCCCCCACATACACTTGAACCTGATCTTAAACTTAGACACAATAGTTGCTTTTAAATATTTGCAGAGCTGTCTTGTTAAAGGAAACAGTCAGGTGAGGTTTTTGCCTGCCTATGGGATTGAGCAGGTATATTAGCTTTTATCAGTAGTATTAGGATTGGTTTGCTTGTAGAAGAAATGTATTGTTGGGGGATGGTTGATTTAGATTTAGGGCTTATTTACTTTTTTACAAGCTTTAAAATCTGGTTCTTTCAGTCTTCCTTAAACAGAATTTCTGTGGCTGAGGGTGTACTTCAGAGGGCATGCTTTTGATATGAGAGGCCCTATGTTCATCTTCAGAAGCTCCCTTCCCCAACTTTTCTTTCATGGAGCATCTTGGGAATTATAGTGGGAGGAAGACACGAGAGTGATGGGCATGTGTCTGACCTAGCACAGCCAACGTTGGCATCACAGTGTTTATGGCATGGACTGACTATTGTGAGTTCTGGTGTTGGCTCTCAGTCTCTGACTAGCCAGGGGGATTTGAGCAGTTCATTTCATTTCACCCAATATCAATCCATCTGTAAAACAGAAGTGAAGTAATGACTCTAGCTCTCTTCTAGCTCTAACATTTGTTTTGGCAGATTTATTTACTTTTTCACTTGATGCTGTTCTGAGGCTTGGGAATTTCAACTAGTAATTTATAAATATACTACTATAAATTTAAAAGCCAAATGTTGTGTTTTCAAGATTTTCTTTTGTTTTTTAAATTCTTTGTGGCTTTAATGCATAATGGTCCTTTTATAACTTAAAGAGTCTTTGTTCGTGGGCCAACTTTTAAGTTTTGAAGGTGAGCAGAAAGGCAAGGCTGGTGCTAATGGAATAAAATGGAATATTGACTATGTAGATTTTAGAGTGGTTTGTGGAGGTGAAAGATTACTAAGCTATTTTGGTCCAACTAAAGTCTACAGTTCTAAAAATAACTCCTGTAGTTTAAAGTATTCTGTTTTTATTATAGAGATTGTATATAATATTAGATGAACTAGGAAACAACTTCTTATACCTCTTGCTATTTATACTTCTTGTAAGCCTTCATGTTACATTACATTAAGGTAATTCTAATTTATTAGTTCCTGGGTCATGGAATTTTAAGACATTGAATAATGATTAATAATAAAATACCAGTTTAGTAGTGTTTATGATTTATAGTTCCTTTACAAATACATCATTTATTTCATGCAGTGAACTAATAACAAGATTAGTTTAAGATTTATGCTCTTGTAACAGAGTATAATAAATCTTGAGAGGTTAAAAGGCCCTATGTAGGTCACATAGTTGTCACTGAGGCCTTGGACTAGAACTTGGTTTCTGAACATCAGCCAGTACACTTTCCTTTGCATCCATTGCCCCGTCTAGCACCTGTGTATTACTAACGGATGAAATTGTAGTGCATTAAATTGTTTCTTGATACTTCACAGCTGGCAGACACACCAAAATCTGAAAGATATGAGCATGTTCTGGAGGCATTAAATGATTACAAGACCATGTAAGTTGATTTATTTTATGTATCCCTTTCAGGGAGACAGAAGTATAAGGGATAATGGCATTGTTAAGAATTATGGGATTGGTGTATCCAACAAGTACAAACCATTGTAATGTTCTCATGTCCTATTCTCGTTCAGTCAGTAAAGCAGGGAAGAGGACTAGAGAAGGAAAGAGTAGTGCTGTTGAGAATGGGTGGGTGGGAGTCATGTGGCTTTCTTTGGGGGAATTTGGTCTGTTTTCTCGAAGAAGCATACTCAGTAATAACTTCCTTCTGTAATGTAAAGCACTAAAATAAATCCTTTTTAGCTGGTAGGAATATGCAAAAGATAATCTCTTGTAGTTTTAAGATTAGTTACTGTCATCAGTTAGTTATAGAAAAGAAGTATTGGTCTGTGGTTTCAGATATTCTGTATTCTTTTATCAATCTCCTTTCCTGGTTTTTAAAAACCAGCATGCCTGCATTTCTTGAATATATTATCAAAATTGAAATGCCATGGAAATTTTATAAATGCACTTATTTATAAATACTGTCCAACAAATTACTAAATTGTATTAGAATTTTTTTTTCTAACAAGTTGATGTTTTGAACTTGACAGTGTTTTCTTACTAGATGATGTTTTAATTACTAGTAATTAGATCTTTAAACCAGCTCAAAAAAGCCATAAGGTAATCGATTAGTTATTGTTGATAAATATATTGTATGTAACAATAAATTCTTAATTCCAATGTAGGGTGTCAGAAGTTTATCTGTTACTAATGGTAGAAATGAGAGCTGTTTTCGTAAAGATGCATGAAAGTACAACGATTCTGAATGAGCCAGAGAGGGTTTTGTGGTGAGGGAGGCTGTAGAAGAGTTAAAGTAAATGGAAGTGTTTGGGAATAAAAACCCTGAATACAGGTTCTATTTTCTGGACCTTTAGGGTTCGCTTCATTTTCTTTTTCAATTATTTCAGATGAAATTTTTTCTATTACAAATCCACTCTGAAATCAAATTCCTAAACCTTTTTATTCCCCAATATTTCTGACAAATGACACTAAATTATACTGGAACTAAATACACTTCCTTGCTTTAAGACATTAAGTATTAATTATTTAGAGATAAGGTCTTGCTGTGTGCTCAGCCTGGCCTCAAACTCCTGGGTTCAGAGCCAGGAGCAGTGAAACGTGCCATCATCTCAGCATTTGGGAAGCTAAGGCAGGAGATTCATAATGAGACCCTGTCTCTAAAACAATCACAGAAACCTCAGAGTTCAAGTAATCCTCTCAGCATACCTAATCTAGAAGCCGTGTTTAAGATAAAAGGGGACCATGATTCTTTTCTCGATTCATGTCCTATTCCTTTCTCCTGTGATCTACTGAGGCCTGGCTCTGAGAGTCAAGGAAATCAAGGAGGGAAGGGTTTTTGTGGTATTGGGTGGCTTTCATGTATAACGGCCCTATATCTGAAGTTATAAGTTAGGGTCTTCCATGTATATGTGTGCAGTTTTTAAATTTTTAGTTAATTTTTTTAAAAATTTAGGTTTATGTCTGGGAAAGAAATAAAGAAGAAGAAGCATTTGTTTGGGTTGCGAATTCGTGTTCCTCCTGTGCCACCAAATGTGGCTTTCAAAGCAGAGAAAGAACCTGAAGGAACATCCCATGAATTTAAAATTAAAGGCAGAAAGGCATCCAAACCCATATGTGATTCAAGGTAAAAGTTGATCTGTGGCTTAGTTTTTCTCTTTAGCTTGTTATTAAAAATGTATATTATATGGTCTTATTAGGATATTGAAAGTGTGTCAGTGACCTGAATTATCGCCCCCCCTCTATAATTTGTTTTTTTAGACAAGATATCAAGAGGTGGTACCATACACTTGTTTAGTTTAGGCATTTTGGCCTTCAAGAACTAGCCTGGTGATTCAAGGAAACTACTTGCATATTCACATGCTCATTTATTTTCATTTGTTCATACAGAACTTTTATCAGATTGCCTTATTTTCTAAGTGCTGAGGATATAATTGACAAGACAGTTTTTTTTTCCTTCTGTTGGGTGTACATTATAATGGGGAAGATGTGTGATAAATAAGTAGAATAGTTATTGGTCATGCTAATGCCATTTAGAATTAGTGTACTGTGTTAGACAACTGTAGAGTTGGGAAGTTTGTACTTCAGTGGGATACTTAAGGATTACCTGAGATAATATTTGAGATTTAATTGAGAATAATCCAATAATGTGAGAAATAAAGGGGAAAATACTTGAGGGTGCAGAAATACAGGTGTGGAGACCATGAGATGTTTTTCTAGGATTTTACAAACTGGTTTTGTTTGAATGAGAACCGGAGAGTAGGGATTCGATGTTTGAAAAGTTAGGTGGCTCTTGTAGGTCTTATTAAGATGCCCCCACCCCAGTAATGGGTAGCCATTTAAATGATATGAGCAGATTTAATTATCTTTCAAAAATTCTCTGGATGGTGTTTTAAGAAGGTGTAATACAGAGTTAGAAATAGAAGCAGGAGAAAATGAAGCCTTGGATTTGTGGTTAAATGCTTGTGCAGTAGGTGTTCAAATGGAATGAGTAGATTTGGGACATCTTTTCAGGGCAGAATCAGTCAGATTTACTAATGAATTAAACTGATGAGAAGAGGAAATGAGGACAAGATAACTAGATTGTGATTCACGGAAAGTCATAGATGCTCATATTCCTTACCAAGATGTGGAAGAGCATAAGAAGGTGATGTGAGCATTTTTCTGTTTCTGTCCATATGAGTTTGGGATTCTTATGGAGAGTGTCTAAGTGATAGTACACAGGGGACTTTGATTCGTAGATAAGGAGCTCACAGAAGAGGTCAGAACAGGTGACAAAATTTGAAAACTTGATTTATAAAGCCAGGTGAATGAATAAAACTATCTAGGGAACAAGTAGAGGAGAGACTTTAAATAGTGTCTGGATATCATTTATAAATTTGAAAGAGATAAAAGACAGTATAAAATAATGACCTGTAAGATTGGAAGAAACCAGGAATGTTTGGTCTCGTGAAAACCAGAAGACATGGATTGTTTCAAGAGAGATGGATAGATTAATCTGGGTCCTATGGACATTAGTAAAAAGTGAAAGACATGTTTACCGGACACTAACATTTTGTTATTAACACTTTGACAAAAGCTGTTTATTTGGAGTAGTGAAGATTGGAATAAGTTGTGATTGAATCCAGCATTTCTGATGTGTATATTAAAATGTAAGAGACATTGACATATTCAAAATGATAGCACATAAAAGAAAACTCTTTAAGAATTCTGAATGAGACTAGAATAAGTGGAGAGGTAAATGTCAAATCTCAGAAGTTTTACTGTGAAGCAAAGTATACAACTGACTGACAGCTGAAGAGGAGGGTGTAATAGGAAGTGATGGTTATTTTAGTAGTTAGGAGATAATTGCAACCTATTTTTGTGTGCTGATAAGAATGACCTAGTGAGCAAGAAAAGATAGGTGTAAGAAAGAGTGGACCTAATTACCGATTTTGTAAGCTCTGAGAATGCAAAGGGTAAGGGAATGCTGACTTAACCTGAGAATGGTTTTGTTGGGAGGAGAAGCACCTCTCCGTTGAAATGGCTTGACAAAACAGAAGATAGCTATAGATACTGATTATGGAAATTGGAAACTAAAGTCATTGGTAGTCTGTTTTCTCAGAGAAGTATGAGAATGTAAGATTGCTTAAAAGGGTTGTACAGAAGGAAATTTAGAATGAGTAAAAGATGTGGGCAGTTATTCTGGAGAGTGAGAAAATGTAATTATGAAACATTGACAGTGCATCATAACCATTTGAAGGTTTTGATAAAGTAGATGCTACTTTAGAGTTTCATCCCAGAGGGAAAAATGCTTATTAGTCTTACAGTTTTAAAATTTGAACTAATTCTTCACTTGCAGTTGTCATTGAAAATTGGAGGGGAGAACCCCACAAACATCTCACTGCTATGATGGTGTTGATGGGATGTTCCATCTGTGCCATCTCAGATCATCTGATGCTACCATAAAGGCTTAGCTTCCTTCAAGCATCCTATGTTCCTTTCTGGGCCCTCTGTAACCATTGGTCCTTTCAGTCTGAGTGTATTATTTGTAGTGCAGTGGTTTTAAAAAATGTTTTGTTATCTTTAAAAAAAATGCATATCCAACTGAGTTTGGTTGTGAACTCCTTTAATTCCAGCACTCAGGAGGCAGAGGCCAGTAGATCTCTGAGACTGAGGGAATTACAGGCCAGGTGGGGCTACAGGGAGACCCCCGAGTCAAACAAAACAAAATTTATATTCATCCACCCTTTTGGTTTTTGACTTACAGGCCTTATTCTCTGTTTTTCCCCCACTTTATCCTTATAGTTGCTCCTTTTCTGTGTGCTTCATTGAACTTTGCTGATAACTTCCTCATAGGAATTTATTAGCTTGCTTGCAGCTCAGAAAGCATCTCTGTCCCTGCTACATGTCTTGTCTATGGAGTAAATGAAATAAGTATTCTTTATATTGTTACCTGCCTCTTGCTCTTTCCTTCTACTAAAGATATTCTTCACTATTGTGGTTTACCCCTTTCTATTGCCTGGTATTTAGCTTTTTTCTTTAAGAATGATTTTCCAAGTCTTTCTAAGTTTGACTTATATATAAATGGCTCCATCCCAGTAAGAAGGATTCCTTATTTCACCTTTGTGTTCTGCTTCCTTGGACTTAGTTGTTTCTGACAGTGGCGTTTAAGAATTCATATACATATACATATATAAGATACTATTAAAGCATTATATCTCTGTATTACAGAACCTTTTTTAATAGATACTGTAATCTTAATATAGATTGTATTAGTTAATTTTCTGTTGGTGTGATAGAAAAACTGCCAAAGCAACTTTAGAAAGAAAAGTTTATTTGCACTTATATGGTTCCAGAGCATTACAGTCTGTAATGGCAGGAAGGCATGGTGCCAGGAGGTGGCTGGAGCAGGAGCAGAAAGCAGAGCGCTCACATCTTCCAGCAGGCACAGGAAGCAAGAGAGCAACTCAGATCCAGCAAGGCTTAAGAAGTCTCTAAGCCCACCCCCAGTGATCTGCTTCCTCCAACATAGCCTAGACTCTTAAAACAGTGCCACCAGCTGGGGATGAAAATGTCCAGATAATTGGGGCCTATTCTCATAAAACCACCACATGACTTGACTAATTTTGTAGTCATTTTTTTAGTGGTAAATTCTTGAGAAAAAGAAGTAAGTAATAAACTAAGTAAATGTTTAGAAGTTTTGAAGTCTATGCAGTCTGGCTATTTGGTGTTTTTTTTTTTTTCTCCTAACTCTTTAGTGGTGTGCATATGTCAGAGTTAGAGAAAAGACAGCATTTTTTCCTTTTGTACTTGAAAAAAGGCGGATATGTACTATTTAGTTAAATTTGTAAAGCCATTGTCATTTTTGCTTTAAATATATAATAATTAAAGATTATATAATGGCTTTCTGTTTCAGGGAGGTAAGCAATGGAATAGAAAAGAAAGGAAAGAAAAAATCTGTAGGTCGTCCTCCTGGCCCATATACAAGAAAAATGATTCAAAAAACCGCTGAGCCACCGTTGGTAAGGGGGTTTGTTTGTACATGTTCTCAGTAAGAATTCATGTAATTACTTAGTGAGCTACTGTTTTATTTTGATTCCAGTAGAACTACGCTGTTTTCTTCTTTCTCAATTTTTATAATTTTCCAGGATAAGGAATCAGTTTCAGAGAATCCTACGTTGGATTTACCTTGTTCTATAGGGTAAATAGTTATTTATTTCCTTTCCTAGGGGTTTTCTTTTGGAGGGGATTAGTATTTCTATTGTTATGTAATATAGTTGTTATACCATTTGAATTCTTTTATCTCAGGAGAACTGAGGGAACTGCACATTCATCCAATACCTCAGATGTGGACTTCACGGGTGCTTCCAGTGCAAAAGAAACTACCTCGTCTAGCATTTCCAGGCATTATGGGTAGATACTTTATCTTATGTTGTTTTTCTTTTTTTCTTTTTTTTCTTTTTAAGCTTAGTGAGTCATTGAGTTTGTTGGGATGACATAAAGGCCACCTACATCATTGTGAAGGGTGACAACTCACAAAAGCCATATATGTATACCTAGAGGTCTCTGCACAACTATGGGCAAGTCCATAGAAGAGCCTCCTTTCCCCAGCAGTTGTTCTCTTTTTTGTGACCTCAGGAAGAAGCCTCATGAGTCTTGGAACTTTCTGAACCTCTTAAGTTTCCTTAGCTTCTTAACTTTTTAAAAATTGACTTATTCTCTCACAATTTCATACATACATACATACATATATACACTTTGACCTGCCACTATCCTCTCTCACTCCCCCACCAAACCCCTCTTTCCAACTAGTCCTCCTCTTTATTTTAGTTATTTGTGTATTTATTTCTTTAGACTTACTAAATTTATTAATTAGGGTTGTCTGCCTGATCATGGTAGGAATTGTTTACTTAAGCAAGGACATTCTGTTCCTATTCTTCACTGATTTCCTTTGTCAAGTAGTGATTGAATAACTTAGAACAAGTGATAGATTGGTTGAAATATGTTTTTCAGAGCAATCCTTTTGTAGATTCTCTGTTATTTATACTCATCTCAATATTTTGCTTTTAGAATATAAACATTAAATTTTTCATTGAAATTTTTTTCTTGGGGCTAGAGAAATGGCTCAGTGGTTAAGAGCTCTTACTATTCTTGCAGAGGACCTGAATTTAGTCCCCACCACCCATGTAGGGAGAGGAGGGCTCATAACCACCTATAACTCCAACTCTAGGGGAATTGATGCTCTCTTTACACCCACACAGACATACATACACAAAAATAAAAGTAAACCTAAATCTAAAAATCATAATTTATCTTTCTTAAAGATTCTAGGTTCAATACCCAGGAGTGGCAAATAACAACAAAACATTCATTTACTTATTTTGTGTGCATGTGTGGAGGTCAGAGCTGACAGCCTATAGGAGTTGGTTCTGTCTTCTTTCACCGTGAAGTTCCAGGGATTGACCTCAAGTCATCAGGCTTAATGGCATGCACTTTTACTTGCTAAGCTATTTCACCAGCCCCAACATATAATCGTTTAAAATTTGAAATCAGTGTCTTGCCATGTACCTCAGGCTGATTCCAAACTCAGTGGAAATCCTCCTGCCTCTGTCTCCTGAGTGCTAGGGTTACAGATGTCCTCCCCACACTTGGGCTATCAGATTTTTAAAGAAATTTGTGGTGTGTTCAGTATTTACAGGCTGCATACTTTGCTGTTAAACACTTTAATATGTGTACTATGCGAGTGTGCTTTGCTTTAGATTGGCTTTATTTTATATTTTAAATATCTGAATCAGGCATGTAAGCTTTTTGACACTGAAAAAAATTTAACTCAAGATTTAAAAAATAATAACAACTCTCCCTTTGGTATATTATTTGATCCAGTTCATTAGAAAGAATTTTTTCTTAGCCCACAGCATGTCAGGTATAAACAGTTTAGTCTGTTTGGGATCACATCCAGTAAGTAGTTTTAAAGTTTCCAACGGTTTTGTTTCACTTGTTCTTTAGAATTCAGAAACTGCTCTGGTAAATAATGTAATTTTATTTATTTTATA